ACTCGAGAGAATCGAAGAGCAGATAATCCACCACATGAGAACATCGGAAGTAAGAGCGGATTCACGACGACTTGCACTGGCAACGGTAGCCTCGTGCTTCTTTTGCGCACTTTCTCAAATACCAGCTTATGATCCTCGGGATGGCCAGTTCCACGCAAAACAGACATCTCAATCCCGGTGGCCTGAGGATAATGCAATCTCAAAGGCGCTTTGTGGGTACTTACAGGGTGCGTATGTTGTGGTAGGAAAGAAAAATAAAGTATACAGAGAAATCCCTCAAATGGGATCACTCGCTGCTCCGTTATGATATCCGGCCTAGATACACCTATCCACATCAGCCTGTTTGAACATGAGAAAGGTACTCGTTCCATCAGTGGGTTCCCTATGACACTCGCGCAGATGTTATATCTTCAGCTTCCCTCCGCTCCGCCTCCTTTTTTCGCAGACGGAGGTGACACGCAATTCACTTGTCAAACGGCAAAGTGCAAGAACTCTGAGAATCATGAGCCACTAGCCAAAACGTGCAAACGCCGATGCATCTGATTCCGATGAGCTTATGGTATTTATGTTTCATGTCAAGAGGCATCCTTATTTCTTCGCTTAGGAGAAATCTATGGATTACTGGTATCGAAAGTTATATACGGAGTACCTCAAGTACCCAGAGCAACACGATACCCATAAAGCCATAATGTTTATAATCATAGTTGCTTTCAACCGCCGCTATGGGGCAACGATGCCCTCAACCACCTTTCGGTCACATCACGTATTGCTACCATAGAAAGCTCGGCTATAGTGCCTACCTTTGAGCATGCTTATGAAGTATATAGCCGATCATTCATTTGCATGTTCATAGATCTGTAGGCGATGATAAAACTATATATTTAAATTTCCAGACTCACTGCACCATCACATTCTGATAGAATGGCTAGCTGATATCGCTCGGTGTGTTGACCGATCGCGGCACTGGGAATGATTTGTTAGGGGATGACTAGGCCTGCCGCAGGCTATGCGCAGCAATGAGAGAAAAAGGAGCAAATATGTATACAGTCGTTCTCGAAATCGGCTTGACCGGTACATACCCACACTCTCTCTTCCGGCCCCACTGCTAAGACGTTAGCACAGATCGTTCATTGCCCTGGCCACACTTTGGTGAGGAAGGCTGTAAATCACCAGTGAGAGCCGGGGTATATCTAACTACTGAACAATTACGCAAGAGTGTTCAATGGCTAGTGAGGATTTGGTAAAGAGGAATGGTCGTTAGGTTGAATTTGACGTAAATGCTATTTATACCCTAGACAGGAGATTGTGTTCTGAGAGTGCGAGGGATATGACACGACCTCATGAACAACCAATTGCGACTGTAAATATACAAAATGAAGAAGGGTTGAATGGCCGATACTCTGGAGGCAATCACAACAGGTTTGATCGATTATAGGTTATCCAGGAAGAGCCGTCACTTAAGCCAAACCCATATATTCCTGGCAAGGTCAAACGACTGGCGCTGGGCACAGTAGGCTCAGTGGACCCCAAATTCAGGGTATCAAGTATTGTGTGAAGATGATCGGGTGTGCTTTTATCAAATTGGAGGTGAAGAGAGTGAGTACAGGAAGGATCGAAATCAGTTTCACCACTCACACGTAGAGATTCCTTCTCGAACCGTCTCTCGAAACCCACTATACTATTTAAAGTTACCCTACCCATGAGGGTATGATGAGGGCATGATGAGGGCATAGCTGACAAAAAGCGGCTCGTGTTCTTTCGCCGCGGAGACAAGTCGCTGAACCTGAAATCTTAAGCTTGGGGTTCGAAGTGGTATAGACTTGATCTGGTGACATCACAGTGACTTGCGATCTTCGTAACTATTGAGAAATAGTGCACACTCAATGGTAGCAGACATAGCTCTTTATGTTATCTGTGAATACACAGTGCTGACTTCGATATACGAGGAAGTTCCTCTAGGAGCCAGTGAGCCGGTCTTTTAATCTCTCCCAAATTTTGTAAAACTTTCGGCCCTCTGAAATAAATTGCACTCTGAAATCAGCGATGGACCTTGACTATATTATTTTTGCTTCCCACGGACTAAGACCATACAGTTGTACATGGACGAGCTAGACAATCACGTCACCAAATTCCATGATTTTCAGAACAAAAGTATGGATAGGCATTTTCCACCGTACTCGAGTAAGATTAATTAAGTGACGTTGGAGCCGAAGTGACTCAGCTCATCCGGACTAGGAATCAAAGTACAGTATGCCAACGTGGATTTGAATCGCAACAATGTGGTCCACATGCAAAAATATTCACTACTATGACGATATCAAATGATGGCTGTTCTACAGTTCAAATCTAAGAACAGAACACAATTAAACGGCTAAGCTAGGTCGACTGGGCCGGTGGTCTGGTGATTCCGGAGGAGCCGTTGAAGCGAACACCTTTCATAATGACATTGGTTCACCACGCTGTTGTCTAAGATGAAGCCGCAGCATCTCAAATAAACCGTGCAATTTGCAATTGCATCTCTCCGTAGAACCAAATGGCTGACGTGACGCAACACAGCCTACTCTGAGCTGGTTCGGTAGGAATTTGGGGTTGAAAGAAGCCGGTGAAAGCAGAGGGTGGTGAAATTGATTATGGAGGGCCTCCCGAAGGCCAGAATTGGGACGAGAAAAAACAGAGTGCTATAGTTCGTACTATATAAGCTCCTCTTGTAACCTACATTCCATCATTCTAAATCTAGCGATTGTCGATTAATTCGCTATTTGCAGATCCTCAAAAGCTGCACCGCTGCACGTATACTATTAGAAATGCCCTTGATCTTTATTACACTGCTCGCTCTAAACGTCTTACTCTCCCGTGCTGGCCCCACCACAACCGAACCCAACTGCCAGCTTGACTGGAACCTGTGTACGGCTAGCAATGATGGAACAATGTCCTGCTACTGCGATGGTACTAAACAGCAGCAAGGCTACATTTCGATGACTAACTGCTTCGCAAATGATAATGGACAGTTGACCGCGCGAGAGAAGTACGTAATGACTTGATCTATCACCGGGGGCTAAGTCTTCTAATATACCGTCCATACATAGTGGTGGGTTTATGGGCTCGTGTGACATGGGTGATGACCTGGCCAGGCTGCCAATGCTTCAAGCAACTTGCAAACCTGGTAATCAGTTGACATCAATCAACATGGGTATGTATAGTCTCTATATCACATATATAACTCACTGGAAGAATTTGTTGGTTGTGCTGACAATTGAATAACAGACGGAGTTATATTGTTCAAAGGTGACAAGTTGTCTTGCTTTGGGCAGACTTGGGAAGGCGCGATCTTCTCTGACTGATTAGCGCCGGAGACGGGAAGTTGTCAACATGGGTCACAAGTGGAGCAGTGTAACATGCAAATGATAGGCCCGTATGTCTGTCAAGAACAGTAGATGATCGATAATGGAAATATAATTCTGGTTGAGCAGTGGAAGGTATTAAGTTCGAGGGATTCAAAATTGAGGAAGAAGTCCAAGCCAGCGACGAATGGAGGCATGCCCCCTCTCAAATATGTTCATCAGTCTTATGATGGCTAGGAGCGATTTGAAAATTCAAAAGTCAAGCTCTAGCAGTTATGGGCTGAAAAGCATACAAATTTTTTGATGAGATTGTCTCGTGTCAAATAAACTGAAGCAATAGTGGTAAGAAGCGAATAATGAATTGGTGGTTGCTGGATTTAATCAGATAGCAAATGTTGAGAACATAAAATTAGGGGGAAATAGCCCACCGGTTTTGCAAGCAACCGAAAGGGCACAATTGTGCACCATTTGGCCAACGTTTCCCCAGCCTACAGAACCTCGTACGCAACAGTAAGGGCAACACTGACGCCATAGGCGGAATGAGATATACGCTTCCCAAACCGTGCTCCCTCGAAATTGTGCTCTTTCCGAATCATTCTGCAAAGCTGTAAAGTGAACGCGGGTAAACGCGGTACCCTCTTGGGGTTGTTGGGTAGATTAGTGATGGTGGGAACCCGGCCAACTATACCTCCCATAGGGTGTTCTGCGTATTACAGGATAGCGTGATGAATTGGAAGGCCTGCATGATTAACGTAATTCCCGGCCGATCTGGCCACCTCGAAACACCATACAGAATGCGATTTTTCAGACCATTGTATATCAACAACGAAAAGTTGTTTTTACCTTATTCTCAATATGATAGATTCACCTAGCGTAAGAAGCAGAATGGCTTAACTGAGATGTATAATGGATAATTTTTTACATGCATTACCAAAAATACGCTAGCAGCGACCGACGGGGATATATACCAACATTTTGTTGACTGTAAATACTTACTGTAAATACTTCTATGCATGATAGAGATGTGTGGATTGACATATTAAGTGCCAGGATATCCGAAGATTCAATATCAAGTCTCGAGCGTTGAAACATCAAGTTGTGAAATATGGCATTTACTGTGGTGTTTGGGGTGTACGGCTCGCTTATGATTACCGCAGTACAAATTTGACTAACTAGCCCTACATTAGAGCAAAATGATCCAGTGAACTTGTTTCTCGTGTTACAAGTTACAACCACAGTTCAAATTATACATGTCTCTTCCGACGAATGCGTCAGGAAGGACGCATGAAGGGCGTAATCTCTGTCTAGCAGCATGTTTTTTGTTATGGAGTTTGATGAGAATTGCCACCTCTTACTGTATGCTCGTGTTCACTCCTGCCTGCAAGGCCGACGCTGACTTGCCCCACAATTTCAGCATCCGACTTTGGAGCACTCCAGAAATACAGAAAATATTGAGCTTACGGCCACGTACAGTGGTTGCTTTGTGGAGCGGCGCATTTATGATGCGCCTGTCGCGAGGTTTCGCTCCCGACAGCAGGGATTCGGGAGCAACACAGTCACCTTGTCCTAAGAAGAGCAGGAGCAACTTGTCAAGGCTCTCGTCGGAGCTTGTGAAGCCAAGGACGACCAGATGCCCTTATTGAAGGAAAATGATTTACAATGCAGACAATTGATACGACGATTACCGCCAAAGGCTCGAACATGGATAGTGGAAACAGGTCTCATCGGACAAGAGAGGGCCCATGCAGTAGAATTGCCTCTAGTCTTCCTCCGCTAATTACCGCTGTTTCCCTGAACCCCCGAGCCAATCATTTCGACATCTCTTCTGTCTCAGACGGCGTCAGTCCTCATCATCGTGGAGCTCAAAATAAAGATCGCTCGAGGGCTCTCGCCCGGCACATTGCGGCACATTCACATGGGCCGATGCTCTTGACTCTTCGCTTCGATAATACGAAGAGTGATACGGTGAATGTTGACGACGGGGCTAACGCCTCGAAAGGCACAGACATTGGCAGGATATCCGACAATGACTTCGAGGCTGGTGTCAGTATGGACATTCTTCGAGGTGGTGAAATCCTGGGAACTATTACAGATCATGTGGGTAATGTCGCTCAATACGCTTTTGCAATCCCGGACACCGATTTTAGTCTCGAGGATGTCCCGAGACCATGTGATGGCCTCGCAGCCGAGAATGACACTTGCTTCCTCAAAGTCATTGAATTGGAGGCTTCCAGTCGTGGCAGGAGGAGCCCACTTTCGAAATCCCGTCCTTTTCTGATGACGGATAACTGATCGGCTGGGTCTGTCTGTGCCTTCCCAGTGGAGGCCACGGCTGTAAAACTGATGCTGGATGAAATACACCCGCCTTTGCCGTCCCCGCCGACCAATCGAAACGAATATATCTATGGAAGAATCGGGGAACATGATATTGTCGTCGTTGGCTGAGCGCCCTTTGCGTACGGCGGTACATCAGCCGCGACTTGTGTGACTCACTTGTCATCTAGTTTTCCAGCCAGCCTCTTTTGTCTTGTGCTATCGGTGGCGGGATACGAAGCACCAAGGCTGATATCCGACTAGGAGATGTTGTAGTGGGCCAACCAAGCGAGCTCACTGGAGGCGTGGTCCCAGTTGATTTAGATAGATTTTTCAGCGATCGGAGTGCCTAGCAACATCGAAAATATTCGAAATTCAGAACGTTGATTTTAGCTATTTCAAGTTCACCAAGTGACAAGTCGACCTCCTGCTGTTCTGTTGAGCACTCTTTTTTCTCTTCAATCGTATCACCCTATGCAGGGTCGCCAAATCGATGAAATGGTCAATGTTTTACAAAACGCTAGGTTCATGAGACAGACGTAAGACGACCCTTTCTGTTAAGTGAATTGTACTATCAAGTAAAGCACCGTATGATTCGAAACTCGGCCTGGGTCCGGCGCACTTTATTTCACCGAAGCAAATGAGATCATAAGCCACCGATCAGTCATGGAGAGAAGTCACTGAATACGAAGTGACGAGTGGCACTCATTCTGGGTTAACGGCATGCAGGTCGGATCGCCGAACCGCCAAATTGAATCTGTAATGATTGTCGTGATAGAAGGGGAATATGACAGGTCAAATGAATGGAGATCCTAAATCAAGGGAAACCGGGTTGGGGCAGCAAATGGTCTCGGCCTACTAGCGCTAGATCTGGAGACGGAACGCAATTTGACCATACCTTGGCCGCTCCATCTTCTATCCGCCAATCAGCGGATAGCAGCTAGGCTCTGCCTCCTCTTCGTAATTTTCCCCTTGTCTCCAAAGAGGGCCAATTTTAAGTGGTATACGCTTTCGGCTACCCTGTGTCTCTTTTCGCCTTTTTATTACTTTTCATTGATTTTTGCCATTTTTTGGTTAAGTTTCTTGTTAGTTTTTCAATGGTTTTTTAGTACTAATTGCTCTACGTCTATTCGTGGTACATTGGAAAAACGAGATATATCTCCCGAAGTGAGCCAAGTGGACTACTGGATCACTCTCGATAAGAGGAGAAGATTCAGCCTCAAGATGGATGGTGAAGGGATGGATGGGGTGGTGAAAGAACGGCGCCGAGGCATGAGTAGCTATATGACTGTGAGAAGGGCAGGCCCGTCGCATGCGTCGCGACCGAGCAGCTGAAACCGAGATGATCCGCCACCCGGCTTCCCGTTGCCGGCAGATCACCAAGATTGTTTGCTCCCCTTAAGAACCAAAGGGATGTGGGCGAGCCTCCCCCGCTCCCTACTTTCGTCCAGGCACCAACCTTCAGGGTACCTTTGCCTCTTGGAGCTGGTCATGAGGTCGTCCGTGGGCCCACACATTTATGATGGGGCCACAGCCCACAGGCTTTTGGCGGCTATACAGGGGCCGTCCGTGGCCTGCCGCATCGCCTTGACAACATGTTCCGCGCGATCAACACTATCTCCATTGGACCGTCCTTTGGTCTGTGTAATCAGCGGGCCCAACTGTCACCATCCCAGGACAACGGTTCTCACCAGTACTGTACTTCCTGATGTTGACGTGCTATGATTTTTGTGTGACATATGTCAAAAAGGCTTATGTAGCTGAGTAAAATACCTACCGTAGAGGGAAGGGGGAAAGGGGGTCGCCTCGCCTACTGCCCATGGGTGGCTTTTCGTAAAAATCCTCTACAAGGGGAAAAGAGAACGGTGAACCGCAGCTTGATGGGTAGGAGGAGGAAAGAGGGAGAGACCGTAGCTAATGTGGGCTTGTGGGTCCGTGGCAGCAGAATAGTCTAGCCAAATTATCTGAACAGTTACGGCGCTAGAGATCTCCAAATCTACCCAGCCAACTTCCAAAAGTTCGTGATCGAAAACAGTCCCTTCCCTTCCCTTGTCCGCAGTAGCTCGTGTCCAGGCTTCTTTGTATGGCTCTTTAGCGTCATTCTCACCTCCTTGGCTACTAATAGTCAGGACTCGGGGGCCTCAGGGCCAAGGATCGGCGCCCAAAACCAGGATATATGATCTCACTTACATAGTCAAAGGTGCACTTGAGTTAAACCAGCGAGCCCTACAGGCAGGCAGATTATTGGAGATGATTTCTTTGTTGTTGTTGCTATTGTTTTTGAACTTTTGACTATAGTAGTAGTAGTAGTAGTAGCAGGAGTGATAAGGGAGAGAAAGGAGAAAGAATGATGGCATCGTAAGCCAATCAGGGCTCGCGATAAGCGTACCAAAGAGAACTACCACAATTAACATCCGCGCGGCACCTCCAACAGGTGTGAAACATCTTTTATTCCCAAAAGCACTTACGAACCAAAGGGCAGTCCCGAAATATTTATGGACTATCTTTAAGCTGTCTTCCTGCCTTTCGAGCCAGAACTCAACGATCTTATCGTATCCCTGGGCAACTGCGAAGAGACCGCTGGGACCAAATTCGTTGAACAGATTTTTCGTCCTCACATAATTGAAGAGATTATGACCGGCTGTAACCTGCCAGATTAAGCAGGGGATTTGAAGGACTTTGTGATATCAAAATGCATGTCATGCCCTTTTCGTAGACCGAAGGCCCATGATGGGAACTGTTCCAGCAGCTTATGAATCAGGTTCCTCTTTTGTACGAGCACGGCAAGGTCAGATGCCAAGAAGGCAGGATTGCAGAGGCTAAGCCAGGCACCGTTGGGGTTGGAGGGTAACCTTGTGAGTTCTGGCCACCAAAGTCCAAAGCTGTCTTTGTTCTTCTCACACCGCCCTCACTGACATGCGGGTGTCCGGCTTCGGGAATAGTCAATCCCTTTCATCCGCCAAGCCGCCCACAATTTCAGTTCCTTGACCATTCGATTCCGTTCCGTGGTAACCGGGCGCTCGAACGACTTTAGACGCGAGTCAGGCAGCGGCATCCAAGGAAGGCCCAGGTGTGATGAGCAGTTTTACTTAGCTAACGGAGTGCCCCGAAGAAAGAGCTCAGCGCGTGCCTGGGGTTGTTTGTCACCCAAATTATTTTAAAAGATGATTGTTTTGTTTCTATTCTTTTCTCACCATAACAGTCCAGAATTTCTTATTGTCTTAATTGACTAATCTTTGGGATGGAATGTCCTATCATAATTTTTGACTGGAAGACTGCGAGCCGTATCCCTTGGTCATTTTGGTTTGACCCGTCAGTGAGGACCAGTCTAGGTCAGGTCTCAGATATCATTCGCGCCGGGAGCCCTTTCTGTCATCGCTCTCAAAGAGTCTATTGGAACGTGGAGGACAGGAATTATCAACGAAAATTGAGGGTTGATCCGATGATAGACTTGCCTCGATAAACATGACGGATTTATATTTGAGGGGATTCATAATAAAGCGCCCGCTCTGCGGAGACTTGACCGTGGTAAATCTGGAAATTAATCTCCTCGCCGTGAGCCGTGAGAGGGAAAGTATAATCGCAGTCTCTTTAATGAAATTGGCCAGCGTGCTTGAAGGACCCTGACCCGTGATGGACATATAGGTATGTAGCAGTTGAGACTAAGCTTGTTTTTGGTCAGAGGATACCCAGCCAAGATCGGGGTAGCTTGTAAACGAGTCGCACAGAATTGAACAGTCCAGAGGGCCGTATTCAGCACCGAACGGTGCGTCTCGCTCGCCGAGCAATTTCCTCCATGTGTACATTTCCTTTATCTCTCTCTTTAACCAAGCGACGCCCGGCAATGCGAGATCGTTGGTCTCGAGAGAAGCTTTTTATCATTTCGCTGCTTTGACAATACGCGACCAGCCAGTTTCCAATTTATTGGTCGATTGGTTTTTTCGAGATCGTGTTTAGTTGACAGCGTTACGAATAATAGCGCTGAGAGAAATCCGTTGATACCCGGTTGAAGCTACCGAATGCCAGAAAGTCCGAGAGAGACTGGGGAAGAAGGCATATTACCGGGATTGAAGCCCCGACTTTGATCCTCAAAAGGTTCAAATGCCATCGCCGTCTAAAGAGAGGAGACGAGCATTGTAAATATGACTCCATTCCATCACCACAGATGCTGAAAGAGTTCACAGAGTACTGTGTTGTACTGTGTTGTTGCTGAAATGAGATTCCCATGTTAAACACCTGCGACTGAGATTTCAAGAGCTTTCTGTGCACAATAGAAGAGAGACAACAGGGCCGGTCTCACAAGCACATCTGGGGCCACCACCAGAGCAACCATAAAATATTCATATCCTCAACAAACGTTTGTTCTTCTACGCTACGCTAGCCGCCGTGCTAAGAATTCGGGAAGACTGATGATCAGCCTATTACTGATGCCATTGAAGCTCATCGATATCCAAGTTGATTGAAACACGCATGATATTGTGAAAATGTGCTAGTGAACCCAGGTCCCTTACAAAGTTGACTATTTTTAATCCACTTCTCGCTCTGAGCCCGAACAAAAGAAAATAATCCAAAGCACTCAAGGACATATTTTTTCTGGTCACGGGGACCTGAGTCATTATGTTTCGAGATCGTATCGCTGTGTAAGCCCTATCTTTCTATATTCCCCTCGGTATTTGTCGACGCCTTCTCCTGATTCCTTGGTATCCCATCCAACTTTAGTATCCATAGTATCCATATTTTTATCTGTCGTAGGCCATTTTCTTGATCGTATTGGATGACCAGCTACTAGATATTGACGACTAATATACGAGCCTGTAATCTCAGAAGGTCGAGGCGCGTTGCCTTCCTACACAAACGAATGTGGGACGGGCGGGGGCATAGGCCGGCATGTGCGGAACCAACTGTCTCGATAATGGATATCGTTGCAAGGATCGTGCGCTGATGTTATGGGAGTAGCCAGGTCTATAAACAAATTCTACCTACTAGTTAGTTACGTCTGTTGCCGGTTCGCCTTTTGATCTACCTTTTTCCTATTGATTCAACGAGGTTTCCGACCAGGTCCTAGCCTTCTAGATTACAGACTCCCTTTTGCTAGTATCTACGAACGTCAATCCAGGCTAATAGTGACATCAAGCGCGCTACGGGTTTTATGAAAATAAATCTACGATTTCAGAAAACAAAAGGGTAGTACCATAATGGGCAAGAGAAGCTGTTGTTGTTCGCGCCTCATTGAGGGTTGATGATCATTGGGATATATAACTAACCCTTGACCTGTGTTTTGAAATCGTATGCCTTAGGCCGGGATTAGCGGCTCGTGGAATGAACGGGGGGTGTGGAAGTTCTAGTATGGACAGAACAACGAATCCGAATGCAGGCCAATTGAGTAGTCATCGTAGTTTGAGGGCCATTGCCCGGTCATCGGCATTTCGGCGAAGACTTGAGGCGAAGAACCCACGGCCAGGTAGCTAGTATCTTGCCTGGAAATAGGGCTATCCACAGGGTAATGTGGATTACCTGAATAGTACCGTGGTGTGCTATCATCACCGCGGTAATCTTCGCTTTGCCAGTGAGCATCAGATCCGCAAAGGTGAGATGTCAACAGACTAGCCGAGAATCCTTGGATCTGTAGCGTAGAGGGTGAATATGTTGAGAAGTCGCTCGTATTTGAAGTGAAAAGGGTGAAGTCACCCATCGAAGGGGTTTCAAGACATCCGATTTCACCAAAAGGCCCTCCTGTGTCAATCGCATTGAGATTTGAGTCAAGGTTACTCATTTCCTCTGATCGGGTGAGTTGGTGATCGAGATTTTCCTCGCTGTGATTTAAACGGGGGTGAAATTGCGTTCTTGCCGGATGGACTGAATCCGAGGTGCCTACCATCTGTTAGTAGTTTATCTATTAGTTCCCGACCCCTGAACCTAGGCGAACGTACAGGCGTAGTGGCATTTGGAGGTCTCCCCCTGCTGATGCGCCCATGAACTGTCGTTCAAGAGACCCCACCTGGTTCTTTCAACCTTACGGGGGCTTGTGCGGTTGGGTCTTATTTCCAGCGCGGCTTTCTGGAGATCGTCTGCACTAGTCCCGTTCATACCACTCTGAGCCAAATGGATGAGAAGCTCGACACAATCTGAATCTCAACGGTCAATATCATCATGATTTGCGATATACAATCTCATAGCGGACTAGCTTTATCGAGAGAGGGCATACCATGTTTGGAAAGAGCGCTGGGCGGTTTGTACGGAACAGATGTAGGCCACCATCCAGGCCTGGACGAGTCAGAAAGTCCCGGCTTTATTTTGCGTGAGCGGTACGGAAAGATGGATCTTTTCATAGGTTCAATCTGCCTGATCATAGCAGAAGCCCACTTGCTGAGCTCCTTCTGGGTCTTGCTATTCAACACAGTTTTATGTATTGATATTTTATCGGCTTTGCCATGAACGTAGGGAGCAACCTCTCTCTCGGGTATCCTATCAAAGAACCCACTCCCGGACGAAGAGTGCGAAAGTACCCAACGCTTCGTAGAATATGCGGAGTTTTCTTCACCCGGATTCTTTCTTACAGAAAGAAAGGAACTCATCGTACGGCAAAGTTGATTCTAGAAAGAATAAGCAGACACCTGGAGAGAGGTTCAACGGATCATAGATCAATATGAGCAGGCACTTTGATCAGCAGTCTAAGAGAGATTGGATGAAGTTCGCGGTGAGTTAGTTTTGAACTGTGACAGAAGAAATTCAGCGTATAGTGCGTGATCGTCCGACTCGACTCCGATGAGCTCTATATATATTTCAGTCATGATCAAATGGAACAAATGGAGACAGTTCATCTCATGCCGGAATCCTGACTCAGAATCATCTCGAGCAATATGCCGGTTTGAAAGAGATCTATAAGTCAAAGCCGAAAAGTACCTGTGCTGGGAGAACTGTAAGGCATTATTCCAATTGACGAATGAGAATGTATATCTGAGTCTGATGAATATGTCAAATGATCTTGTTATATACGGGTTTAGTGGGTGGCGGGGTTGGGCTGAGTGCACTTAGATTCACCCGCTCGAACAAATCACATGAAAGACAAAGACCCCAGTGGCATGATACTGGAAACTCTTGTCTCTACCTCGAAGACCGATACTGAAGCTTGAAGCCTCAAGCCCTCAAAATAAATCTAATACTTCGTTTTGTGAATACCGTGCCGGAAGAGAAGGATAGTAAGACATGGGCGCCCTTCCCTTCTCATCTGCGGTCACCACCCAGTCCGCCCTACCTCAACCCCTATTCCGATTCCAAACCATCTATAGCTTCGAGGAAGAAACATCAGGGTTGCCTTCATATACCGATATTGCTGATGAGGTAGTCACATGTGGGAGCCGATGAGCGGCATCATATCGTACTAATGGTTATTGGGTTTCATGTTCTTAATTACATCCGGCATTTCACAAAATTGTTTGACGATAACATTCAACACCTTGAAACTCGAATGGGGTATATATAGATGAGCGTCTGTTTTCATGTGGTGAACCTGATTCGATCCTCCCTGTACTACCCGTAACACACGGGGTCATTAACATCTTACCTTCAGCACCGCGCAGCCAAGGGCTTCGGTTGTAATTCGGTATTAACTCGATATCAAAATGATCACAGGGTGAGTAAAGCCCAGAATTAGAGCAGTCATGATTAAAGCAAGGGCTCGTAGACCCCCTATAGAGAGAAACTGCTACAACCAGCCGAATTAGAGGGAGTCGAGAGAGTAAGGGTTAACTACATCAGAATCCATTCAAGTACTCTATAGCTTTCCGTGATCGATCTGTTGCACATGTCATATACAGACCTATTCGTATCTTAATCAAAGTGGCCGCTCTTATCCTTGCAGAACTTATAGAAGCCAAATAGACCATATATATGGATATCCTAAATATAAATAAGTCCTAGATGATGCTACCACTTAATCTAGGTTGGTGTTATTAAAGAAGAGAAAACACTACATCCGTCTTTCATATGCTGCAGACTGGTCACAAGAGAGTCTCATCCTAATATTCATATCATACGGTCATTCTCGAAATCGCCTTGACCAATATACACTGAGACCGTCTTCCTCGGCCCCGCCGCAAAGGCCTTAGCGCAGACCATCTATTGGACTGGACGCATCAAGTTGAAGGAAGGGCCCACGTTTTGAACGTCTACAAGCTCGGGAAGATCACACGGACCGCAGTTTAATGGGGTGGCCCCAATAGATGAGCCGCGCTAAAGGCTTGGCAGTGGGGCCGAGAAAGAAAGCTAAAGAGTGCACTGGTCAAGGCAATTTCGAGAATGACTATAGACTACAACTGTCGTACCCGCATGCTCCAGCAACTTGCTTGCTTAGCTCCTTCGTTTCCACCACACTACCAACGACCAGCGATGACTCCAGTGAGACAATATTCGGTTCTTTCGACACTGCAACGACTTAAATACCTTCCAGCCTCCATTTTTCTACCACGACGACCCGTACTTGTCGCCCCGTCATTCTCACTATTCTTGGCCAGCGAGACCGGTCGCAAAGTTCGGAAACCGCTGCTTGTACGCACGATATCCACCCGCGAGGAGAAGATGACACTGGATGATCTGGGTATGGAACAATTATTTTTCTATACGAGTGGGCGATGGCTCTGGGATGAAGAACAGCAGCTCCGAGACAGATATAAGGCCTTGAATGTCGCCCAGCTTCAAACCTTAGCATCTCAAGCAACAGGTTCGGATGGCTGTGCCTCGATCACAAAGCTGGCAGAAGGGGGTTTCAACAAAGTTTTCCGCCTCCAGATGAATGATGGCAAAGCCATTTTGGCTCGTATTCCCAACCCAGATGCAGGGCCCCCCTTTTACACAACTGCCTCTGAAGTTGCTACCATGGAGTTTGTGAGTCTCTTCCCCCAGCAAATATGAAGGACCAGATGACTCATGCGATTTTAAGGCTCGAGACATCCTCCAGAGACCGGTCCCTCGAATATTGGGATGGAGTGCAACCTCTCAAAATCCAGTGGGTTCAGAATATATCTTCATGGAAGAAGCTGCTGGAAAACAACTAGCAACGCGATAGGATGAATTAACTCCCGATTCAAAGCTAGCTATCGTGAGAGAGATCGTGGCTATAGAGACAAAGTTGTTGTCGGTATCTATCTCGCAGTATGTGTCCTTTTGCTACGTTGCCATTATTTGTTCCTTTACGTGCTCACTTTCTAAATTCTAGCTAAGGGAACATATATTTCTCGAGTGATGAGGTAGATGGCGCGGTACCGGCTCAATTCACGAGCGATGTCCCTATTGAATTGAAAGAGCGGGTCTCTAAGAAATTCACTATTGGCCCTACTGTCCAGCGAGATTTCTGGAAAAAAGAGCGTGCTACAATGGATATATCACGAGGTCCTTGTAGGTGGTATTTGCCCTCAGTGAAGTTTATGGCGTCTAATTGCTTGAAGGGTCAGGTGCCGGGGAGTTCGCATCGAGTGTTGGTTGGCGCGAGGTTGATTGGATAACAAAGTATGCTGTTCCAAAGCCAGCCGACGATATTATGTTGAGCTCTACAGCCCAAAACGACCCGCGCGCACATCTCGATCTACTCAGGTAATACCTAAGCATTGCCCCCAATCTCATGGAGATTGATGCCCGCCTTAGTTGTCCTACTCTATGGCATGGCGACCTTCACTCGGCCAACTTTTTTGTTGATGACAACCGTATTACTGCAGTTATTGATTGGCAGGGCTCGTGGGCTGGCCCGCTTCTACTTCAAGCGCAACCATCTCCACTGTTGGATTATTAAGGAACCATCCTTCTTGATCGTCCGGACAATTTCGACGACCTTGGCTCCGATCAACAAGTCCAAATTAAACGACAAATATTTAAATCTACACTTTTCCAGCTTCACTTGATGGAGACAGAGAGACGGAACCCTGTGCTCGCGAAAGCATTCCATCTGGATCATGGAAAAACAAGACGTCTTGCCGTCGAATTGGCTGGGAATACTTGGGACGATGAAATTGTGCCCTTCCGGAAGGCTCTCATCAATATTGAAAAGTATGACTCTGCAAGACATATAACAACGATGAGAGCTGACCATATAAACAGGCACTGGCACGAGATGGGGATCAGAGGGAATTGCCCTTATCACTTCACAAAAGAAGAATTAAAGAGCCACGCTATAGATGCAGAAGGTTGGAATGATGTCCAGGACTTTTTTGATAGCATTGAGAGCCTTGTGAAGAGGGATGGCTGGACCCATCTCGAAACGTTTGATGCTGCCTTTGATTTCTTCGCGGACCTCCGGAAATTGGGCCTCAAGCGCATGAAAGGCAAAGAAAGAGATATTTTCGACAAACTGACCGGCTGGGCGAGAGGTCAAGGCTGAGACTTATTTGATACGAAGGAAAACCCTTGAAGGTGAAAACACTCGACGTTAACTAGGAGAGGAGGAAGAAGGAAGCTAAGCTAGACTACTGAGGTTGGTGGTCCCAGGTGGTGAGGGCGTAGCCCATGTGTGTGCCAGGCAGTATGGCAGGCCTCACCACAAACAAGATCCGCAGCCAGTATCGCAGCCAGTATCGCAGCCAGTATCGCAGCCAGCATCGCAGCCAGTATCGTAGCCAGATCCATAGCTAGCATCGCAGCCAGCATCGTAGCTAGTATCATAGCTAGCAGTATCAAGTCGCAGCTAGATCCGTCGAGTCTAGTCAATTACAGGCTAGTGTTGGTGCCACAGAACCAAGGTTCGGGTCCGTGGGTCACATGACTTGTACTTCGCAGACCGCTATGGCAGAACGCCTCTCCCCCTAGGGGAAAAGAATACTACGAGACAAAATTATATGGGCCCCCCCCTCCCCCTATAAAGCGTATATCCCAAAGAAGTTAGTCTAAACCATTATTGTTGTGTCTCTGACGAGACCAATTAGTAGTTAGTACACCTGATGTGGGGCACCCACAGGCTGCAGGAGCTCAGTATGGCGGTTGCCGTACTCGCCACTGTCAATTGGGCAGCGCATTTATAAACAACCCCATTCCGCGGCGACTGTAGTCACTATTGTTACGATGAACAATAGTCAAACTACTTTTAGCGCTTAACATCGAGGTCGAATTGAACACGGTACGACGTTGGGTCATGTGCCGTGGTACTCGGAAAACTAATGTTCCGATAAGCGGACGAAGTTGGGCCGCTCTCCCTTCAGAGTTTTGGCACCAACTTGAAACCTGAAATGCAGTTATCTCACATGTCGCAGAAGCGTCCGACTCGACTGGTTTATGACAGTCGCACCGATTACTATTATGCCTATCTCTGGACCACTCGCACCTTCAATCGGGCCTCTGTCGACGAAACTCTCTAAGCCGCCTGTGCCATACTCCGCCAAGTGGAGATTCACCGCAAATTCTCACATTGCTTCGCATCCCACACCGGTAGTGCAAGGCTGCTGCATCAACAGCGAAAGTGACAGGGCCGAGAGAAGGAAGCTACATCCAGTTGACCGATGCTTAAAGCATCCCCCTTTGCCTGGCAAAGAGGGATACGACACGGTCAGCCTAGAGGTCATCGACCTCTTGAAAGGAGGCGATGGCCATAATTCCCAGGTATTTACGGTCCGACTACTAGACTTTGAGTCAAGATCACAATTGCTTCCTCAGAAAGGGACAGTGCTTGTTGTAAAAATATACGACCCACTCGACTTCGATGATGACAAAGCGCACCTTAACCCATTCCTCTGCGTGGACAAATACTACACTCATGAGGCCAATGCATATATGGCCCTTGGCGAATTTCAAGGCCAAAGGATTCCGAGATACTACGGTTCATACTCTTTTGAGTCTGTCTGTGAACGCAGTACACACAAGGACAGTCCGAATGATTTTGGTCGACCACATCGAAGGTATTACTATGGCAGATGCTAAGCCGAGGAATTTTTCAAATCAGCTCGTCAGAGCATTTTGTAGTCGATTGTGGATCTCGAAAGCTGGATCTTTGAAAAGGACGTTTGGCTCACCGATCTTGAACCACGAAATGTTATCATAACTTCTCCGGGTAGCGACAGACCCGGTGTCGTGTTCATTGATTTTCGCCCATGCTCTTTTTAACCGCAGGAGAGATGATCCCCCCTTGTTACGGTTGAATAATTTTCTAGGAGAATACGTTTCGCCAGTCCTTCGGTGGAAGAAAAGCAGAGGCAAAGGAGATTCGTTTTCGGAATGGATTGATTGGGATTCGGATCCCTGGCTCGAAGCTGAATTTGCACATACGGTCTCAAGCATAAAGCCAGATATGCGAGAACGATGGCCCGACGAATAACTAGTTCTGCGAGAAGTTAGGCGGATGCTTGAAGTTTAGGATTACTGTTACAAGTGGTTTTGGCTCTCTTAAATGCTGGAGATGCCTTATACTATACGGATAAGTTCTAACTTGCCCCGTTCTGATATGGGGGTTGAATTCTCTTATGCTGTAGCGCAGATGGCAAAAAAACTCCGGCTCTTTCCTTCTCTGTGATTGACGGCGGCCACTCATATCTCTTTTATCTTTATCCCTGCATGCCGAAAGTGGCTTTCTGCGCTCTTCCGTTTTGCACTAACCTCATGAACGCACCGTCGAAGGAAGGCATGAAACCCTTAGCCAGGATTCTCTTCACATCCTGACCAAGCTTTCATGATATAAGCTTTTAGCTCGGCAAAGAACTCCTCGATTGGATTTAAATCCGGCGAATACGGGGCCAGGTACAGTAACTTCACTCCTGCGTCAGCACATAAGGTCTTGATCCGGTCGTAATGATGAAAAGCTGCGTTATCCATAACAAGCACGGATTCTGGCTCCGGCCACCTCCCACGGTGCTGCAGAAGCCGCTCGATAAGCGATTCGAAGAAGATGGCATCAGTTGAACCTTTGAAAATACGGTAGAGAATGATGCCATCTTGAGCATATGCAGGCAGTATCTGAAAGCGTTGTCCGCGATGCAACTTCGACAATTGGACCGGTGTCACGCTGAGTGCTGACCAGCCAGTCCGACTATATCTAATCCTTTTATCACATCCAGACTCATCGCCAAACACAAGACGATATGACCGAAATTCAGATACCTTACGCTGGTAGAAATCTCGTAGTTGTGGGTTCTATTCTTTGGCTTTCTGTTGGGCTTTATTCTTTGTCCAGCCAGCGCGCGAAAGAGCACGTTTAATGGTAGATGATGATGGTAAAATGTTGAACTCATCCCATAGGAAGATAACCATCTCTTCGACGTATAGGTGATGCCTCGAAACCCGTAATTACACACAAAACACAGAGAATAATGGGGTACTGAGGGAACCAATAGGAGTCAGCTGTAAGTAACTCCTCCACTATCTTCGACAAAATATGATCAAGCAGAGAGATACGGGATGGAGCGCATAATTTATGGAGAATTTCAATTGAAAGCAGTGGTACGACGCCATCTTTAACAGGTCTGCGATAGCTTGAGAAGTAAAATGTCAAGGCTGGTATTATAGGACATGGGACATGGGACAATTCTTGAAATGCGTTGTCCTGCTACTGATTGAAGGGCCAGAATAGCTTAATTTATGGTATTGTAGACTGTAAGGATATCAGGCCGGAAGGGAATGATTGATTCAATATGTATACAAGAATCAGGACATACATTAGACGCGAAGTTGATTTCGTAATTAGGTTGTACAAATTGACATGTGCAAAGACTTCTGACAATTCAGCAAATCGCTGCTGGGGAGAATTTTTCAATCACCTTTGAATACCAGCCAGGCTTTCCTCTTTGGAACAATCTCATCGCCGTGGCTAAATGTTGTCTGCGAGAATCTTGCAGTGCGGTAGAAAGACGATAACCTTCAGATAGACCCATCTTTTTCTCATGACGTATCACTGCCGTGATATATTCATGTCTGTCAGTATATTTCTGTACGGTTTTTGCATCCTTCGGGTTCCCATTCTCATCATAATCCCACGGAACGTCCATATCAGGTGGTATAACTGAGAAGGTCAATGGAAACTCGCCAAAAATCTCCCATGGTCCTGCGAAAGCAGCTTCCCAGTCAATGAGGCCCAAGAAATTGTACTCGTCATCAAAAACCATATTGTTAAGACCGAAGTCACTATGGCACAATGGAAAAAGACCTTTATCATGAACAGAAAGAGTAGCAGCAAAGGTCTCAACTAAAGATCTGAAGGAAGAAGCGGAGGAGGATAGCTCATCAGCCAGCGAGCCCGCTGCTTCTTTCAACTTTTCCTCGGATAGTCCGAACTCAACCTTAGTTGCCCACTGCTGGAAAAACTCAGTAGCTGTTTCAAATGGGCCTCCTATTCCGGGTATTGGGCCTTGTTTGTATGAGCCGTCACTGTTCCTGCCGGTAATGGTCCCGATTCTTGGTAGCTGCACTCTCGACAACCGAACCTAGGAAGCGGAAATTTAGCAAAAGATGAACAGAATCGCCAGTCAGTATGAATCTCACACACCTGAATTTCGGCCATTTTTGAGAAAACACAGCTCCTACGGAAGTTGGGAATCTCCATGCCAAGGTCCATGCCGACAATGCCCCTTTAACAGTCCATCAACATAAACTATGCTTCAACCCGGCCTTCAGGGTCAAGTTCAATAGCATGAATGTTGGGGACGAGAATATTGGCTTCCTGTTTAACGAGCAGAATTGTGTGATACTCATTGCCAATTATGCATTTAGTCATGTCTTTTTCGGCTTGGTTCCCAGAGAAGGGCCGCATTCGCAAACGAGCGACCCAACGCACATGGTCGTCAAATTCAATGATTCGGACCTCGTGGCTACAGCCAAGTCCAATATCCGAAAACAATTTGCACGGTCTTCTGTCGCGCAATCTGGCCGCAGCTTCAATGAGCGCCTCCCAGTTTATTGATGTAATAAAGCTCATGACTCTGGCTCGCATTGCATCGTCGGTAAGAGAAGCGAAATAAGACCATCGGTAGCCGGAAAAGAGTTCCCCGTCCGCACATTTACCAACACCTGTTCCATCTTGCACGGATAAGCACACAGCGTCGGACATAGTCATAGAAGGCGTCTCTTGAGGTAAAGGTCATGTTGAAAGATTTTTTTGTACAGTAAGTGGAAACAGAACTTTTCGACTCTCCGACCATTGATGTGGGTGGGCTCGCAAATAAAAACAGTGAATGGCGGTGAGACTGGTGCCCTACCCAATCCACTTCTTCCATTCCATGCACTCCATCCACGCCATCCACGCCATCCGCGCCATTTATTTTCGTCCATGTCCGTGGACGAGAATGATCGAAACTTCTCATGCACCCAGCACTCATCATTTAAATCTGTGGAGCAAAGTAGGGCAGTAAAATACTCCCGAAATAGTTTAGTGTCATGTGTGTCGTGATTTGTTTGTTTGTACCTGGGGGATTCTCAACAGTCCGAGAGTTGGCGAGTTACAAACCCGTTCTCTACATACTCTTGTAAGCAAGGACAGCTTAATTGTCCTCACATCTTCTACTGTTTCTCTTTTCCGTAGCTAATTTCGACTCATCTCTTTGGATTAGCTCCGCTTGGTAGATTACCTCCATTCTTACATACGATGCCATACAATATCAGTTTGCTGTTACAAAACCCAAGAGAATACCGAGTGCCGTACAAGGAATACTATAGACTTTGACAGACTCACTCGTCGACATATCCTTGGATGTCGCGGAATAGTTGGTATTATGCGAAAACAGCATAACTCATTTGTTACTCAGTTCGTCTCCGGTAGGAAAACCAGTCCTATCTGAGAAGGAGGAATTATACCTGTTCTCCACTCCTAGCCCATTATAATATACAGCCTAGGTAAATTAGACAAATTAGCTGTTTTGATAAGATACCTTGAAATGAACTGGGTGTGCTAAGGTGTACGCCGGTTTCGAAATTCTGTGTTGTCTAATTTTTTTCAAAGGGAGCCTATCTGAGAGCAAGTGCATGGAGCTTTTTCAGGGGGATGAAACCGCTCTTGTCAAAATCAGATCAAGTTTAATCATCGATATCGCGCAGCAACCCTTCTGAAAGCAAGCTAGGTATGTCCTTCGGCTGCGAAATAAGACCTGAGACGAAACTGGGAAAAGAACAACTAAGATCAGGAATGGCGCAATAACTTCTCTGGAAGATATTGGATTTTGAATAGTCGGACGAAGACCAAGAACCACTAGAACAGATCCAGGGTACAATTTGCGCAGCGATGAAAGGAGAGGTATTTTAATACCCTTTGCCATCGAGCGCTGCGGACTGGCGTTTGCATTGTGATTGTCCTGCTTCCATACACCACCCCCATGTCCTGTTTCTAGATTTACCTAAGAGAATATGACAATTTGGACAGACGACTCGCTTAAACTAGCTGTAGTCCGTTGCCAAAAAGCTGCATGGTTCTCACACCTGCACCTAATGTTTTAAAACAGAGGTCCTGGCTGCTGGGACCTTGATTGATCGGACCAAGCTCTCCAGTGCTGGTTTCGAGGTCAAATTTAGAGGGCTAAATCTGTGCATTTGCTTAGGGTTGCCTCTAATACAGGTGCCCGTTGGTATTCTTATAACCCGCTATGGCGGAGAGTAATGCTAATGTAAGTGAGCACGTTGTCACACTGTAGGTTTCTCTCCGTCTGAACGGTAGACGCTCAAAATGTGAACCATCAAAATATTTCTTGGGAATTACAGTACATATAAATTACATATACTGAAGCATCATGAGGGATTGAGCTCATGGTAAACTATGTCTTGTAATCGGACTGGTTGGTACTTCTTGGCGGCCTCCCACGTCAGCGGCCTCCCGCGTTAGTGGCCTGCATGTTTGTAGTTTCGATATAGATCTTGGCCTGTTCTTATCTTCTATGTGTAGTATGATGCTAAACCTTTATTCGTCTCGTGCATAGTTTCCCGAAATGGGTACTTTGAGGAGCATCTCCTGCCGATAGGTCCCCGATCAGTCTAGGAAGGCCTCAAGGTACAAACCTGCTTCCAGACACACCGCCAATTATGACTCAGTGAGCCTGAAATTCTATCACTCGTGGTGTATATAAGAGGTAGGTATGAGGGTCATGCTCAGGAGCATTTGGGTAAGGACACAGGGTAACTCTAAAATGTCATCGTGCTTGCCTAGAGAAGACCGTGCTGGTATGTTTCTGGCTGACTTCATTTTTTCATCTTTACACATTCCAAAAAAAGACCTAACAACACGACTTCCAAGACTTCGCGTACCATTTGAGTTTGCTGGAGCTTGATGAGTCCGATGGCCAGTCTGACGAAGCACTTCTTGCCCCGGTACTGACTGGTGCGGTTCTCAACCAACCATCGCTGGGCCCTACGCAATATGGACTACTAGGGGGCGTGAAGAGAATTGATACGCCTTCATACCCTACCATGAACGATGAAGTGACGAAAAATGATCCCCGGTTATTTTTCAACGTTTCATCACCGTCGAGTGTGTTTATCTGCGGATCCCAGGGAACTGGAAAGAGTCACACGCTGTCTTGTTTACTAGAAGGGTGCTTGATCCCATCCAAAGCCGGCAGACTGTTGAGTCCCTTGACAGTTGTCGTATTTCATTACGATACCTTTATCTGTGACGGTGGTGGCTCGCCCTGTGAAGCTGCCTTTCTATCGTCTCGTCTGGATCTGAAGGTCAGAGTGCTTTGTGCTCCGACTAACCTTCGTACTATCAAGATAAGGTGGGCAAGCATTACAGAAGCTCACACTGCTTACAATACTACAGGGTACCTACTCAAGATTCAACATCGAGGTACAACCTTTGCAAACTGATCAGTCCCATCTCAATACCAAGCGAATGCTGGATCTCATGTCAGTTGCCCGGGATAGCGGCGCTGGCCCATTATACTTGCAGACTGTTCAACGGATATTACGAGAGATGCGCCTGCTCCAACAAAGCACAGGACTTCCGTTCGACTATCAAGACTTCAAGACCAGGGTACTTGGTTCTGGACTGCTGACTGGTCAATTGGAGCCCTTGAAGCAAAGGTTGAATTTTCTCGAGAGCTTCATGCCACCCCACCAGGCAAGCACGGGTTACAAATTCAAGAAAACGAAGGCCAAAACCCAAGATGGAGCTTCAAACTGGGCACCAAAGGTACTGTATTCCAAATGCACTTCTGGGCTACTTGAGCTTACCTGTGACTCGGGCCTCGCAGTTGACCATCGTTGATCTCTCATGTCCTTGTGTTTCCCCTGATACCGCCTGCAGCCTTTTCAACATTTGTTTCGAAATATTTATGGAACAAGATACCAATATTGGTAGGATCGTCGCCCTTGATGAGGCCCAGAAGGTGCGAATGATAAGTTCATTGTGTCTTCGTTCCACTTACTCGATTGTAGTATATGAAAGATTCTGTCGAAGCCCAGAATTTTATAGACACCCTTCTCTCTACTGTTCGACTACAACGTCACCTCGGTGCTCGCATCTTTGTTTCAACTCAGGAGCCAACCATCTCCAGCGACCTTCTCGATCTATGCTCTGTCGCTATTGTCCATCGATTCCCATCGCCTGCATGGGTTCGTGCATTACAACCTCACGTAGCTGCGGCAGCCTTAAATCTACACGTAACGAAAGATAGTCAGGCAAAGAATGAGCAGGCACTCCTCGATATTCCGGCAAAGCTCTCTATCTTTCACCGGATCGTCAACCTTAAAATAGGCGAGGCGCTGCTCTTTTCGCCGGGTGCCATGCTAAGCATCGTGTCTGAAGAGCCTGAGCTACAAGAAATGGTCAGATTAGGCTCCGGATATATGACTATCAAGGTGCGAGGCAGACTCACAGACGACGGCGGAAAAAGTGTGTTATCCACTTGAAACTATCTATGAATATGTGTTTGATAATGAGGCTTGCTGTTACAGTAATGTTTCTCGGGGGCGGAACATTAACCAACAAGACCATAAAAGATCACCCATATCCGCAGTTGCGGATATTGCCCAGAGTCCTATATATAGTATGGTAACGCAACTTGATATTTCCGTTGATCGGCCACGCCGTAACTCTTGCCTTCGAAGACATTTTTCTTCTGTCGACCTGCAAATGTTTCATGACTAAATTTTTTTTGGGCTGCAAAATTCGATTAAAAAGCAACACTGCATCGTTCGCTCTCACATGAAGCTGGAATCTTACCGCAGTCCAGGTATCGCTCACTGCTAAATATAGCTCCTACATAAGGACATATCATTAGTATCAACTCATCAGTTTCTTCCCTAGGCGTTGATTTTTATGTGACGGATAATAATAGACGAATGGCGCTCTCTTACGTCGCACGGAATGGTGATCCGGCGCTCGTAGACAATTTACTCGAGTCGAGACTGGCCGACCCAAACTTACTTGGTTTTCATGGCTGTACGGCTGTTTGAAATGCCTCCCAGCATCTGGATAACGGGGTAGTTGTGAAGGGCTGTAGCAAAATTGATTCAATTGTACTAGGCCAACATGCTGTTTACTACAATCTTGTAGAGAGGGAGGTCTATCTGGTGTTCTTCTGCAGAAGAACACTAGGTTCGTTCTGCCGCAGGCGGTATCAATCCTCCGCCCGCCTATGTAATCCTTCAAGGCCATGGCACATGGTTTATGGCCGGGCTCTGGCCCGTTACAGTAGTACCTCGATCACTTATGACTACGCGGATGAACCCTAGCTCTCGAAGCCTTGCAAATCCCGCACCTTTCATGTACGCTCTGGAGTACATCTATTTGAGGGTCTTAAAGACCTTCATATCATCATGTCCACGCAGTATGTTAGTCTTATTGTGATGGCTTTACGGATTTATGTGGCATATAGCATTATCTTTAATGTATATTACAGTACGGTCAGTGCAGGAGCTTAGCGCTCTGATCTTTCGTTAGCCCTACACTGCAATATTCTTTTTATATCACCATGAATAGTATCAGGACACTGTTGTTACGCAGTGCCAACCAATTACTGTGAGTTAAAATGTCCACAGATTTTACTTCCTCATTCCTTCTGCGAGCCCCAAGAGTCTCTCTCAATCATACCGTCGCTTCGCAGAGTATTACTGCGGGTTTGACTCTGCTCAAATTTTTGCAGGACGTGCTAGAGGTGCTCACCAAGAGTTAATCACCAAGTTGTATCACCAAGCAAATCTCCTAGCTATAGGTTAGGTTGTGATGGGATGCAGCTACGGTAGGGGCAGCTGCACGATGTGTGAGAGGGATGAGGAGTGAGATTGCTACTGGGGAGAGATTCTATCTAGGCTATGGACTGCGGTGAGTCGGCAGTATCACATGCCATACAAACATCCCCCTGAATGGCGACTCTGTCCGCAATCTCACTGCAAAACTGAAATGAAACTATTGCACATTGTTGAAACAACAGCCGAGTTCTGATTGTGTCGAGACTCGAGACGCTCATGAAGGCAGTCTCTTCATGCCCAAAAGGGTTAAGAAGCGCTCGAATTGAACTCGTTGTAATAGACCTCTGGCTATCTTGATTGTTTTGTGTATCAGGATATGCCATATTTAGGACTTAGTATCACTGAATTTGCGTATTTAACGCGTGAGGCTGACGCTAGTCGATTTGTTGACGGAATCACTGAATTTGCGTATTTGACGCGTGAGGTTGACGCTGGTCGATTTGTTGACGCTAGTCGATTTGTTGACGTTGAACGCGTAGTGTTGATCCGTTTTTTGTGCGCCGGTACTTGGGGGGGGGGCCTTTGGGCCTAGGCGGCTTTGCGCCGAAGTTGGCTTTGCGCCGAGGCTGCGTATGTAGCGTGTTGAAGCGGTTATTTTGCAAGTTGGTGCTTAGGTGAGTAAGACTAAGTTAATAGCTTTCTCAATCGCGCTAAGCAGGGCTCATAACCTGATGGGATGCAGCTACGGTAGGGGCAGCTGCACGATGTGTGAGAGGGATGAGGAGTGAGATTGCTACTGGGGAGAGATTCTATCTAGGCTATGGACTGCGGTGAGTCGGCAGTATCACATGCCATACAAACAGGTTGTCTGAAAGTTGGACCGTTGGGTGATAACTGCTCATAGAATTAACCCCTCAACAATATGAAATTCCTCCGATCCATACACACATGCTACTACAAGGGTTATTACTCCTATAACATCGTCACCGCTCATGGGTCGTGAATTAAACGTACGAGCAACAAGCAAGGGAGATTAGAATCGAATGTGCAGGTCCAAGAATTCTAGAGATATTGAGAGAGTGTGGGCAGTGATTTCATATGCGCTTTTCAATAGATTGAGAGAAAATTCATCCTCAGAATACACTGCTCGGGCTATGATCAGTTCATGTGCCTAGGTATGATCCGATCACATCACGTTACATGCCCATCGTAGCCGAGGATACACGAGTCACGTGGCACAATCATCGTGCCTGGTAACGTTGACCTATCTCAAGCCCTGCCGACTGACCAAGTTGACTGATGAAATCCGTCGCTTTTCACCGCGTTGGCCTTTGCTACATGAGAGGTCTGTAACAGACGCGTGAGAAGTAAGTCGAATTTGATAGAAGGACACTCGATCACGATTACGCTTGATCAATTCGCACACGACCAACTGCGTCAGACTTGACTACTAGTAGCTCCATTCCACTAGTTGCAGAGGCATTAAAGTTAATTGCTACAGATGCCTCGCGATTAGCCTATTAATAATCTTGCTAGCTGGTTAGCCTCCGGCTACTGACGGTAACTCGTAATTTGAGTACACCAAAGCTTTTTCACACCGAAGTCCGCTCCTCCAGATCATGCGAACGAAATCTCTACTCACTGGTAATTCTCGCATGACATACAAGTAACAGGAAGATATAAGACCAAGATCTCTATATACCCGAACATCTTTTGAGTACTGTCGTTTCTTTCGCGGAGACTGTAGATACAAAGAAATTGCTAGGCGTCTTTTAAAATTCTACGTTAGCATTATCACGGTGCAGACTATACATTGTGTTGTTATGCGGTCTGCTTTTCGGATCTTCGGCTTTTTACAAGCAACGGGCTGTTGACTCATGCGAGAAATAGTTTGCGCCAACATCGTAAGCAGTTCAAGCTCGTTGAAGATACAAGTATCGAAAATCAATGCCGGGCCAGGAAATGTCCGTTGAAGTCGACCTTTCGTTGACATCACCGCTTCATTTACAGGAGAGAGCTCAAAACATTCGACGTGGGTTCTCATGCCCTTATTGCTGATCAAGATAGCAGCATTCTGCTCGTGAACGTAGATTGGTCGGAAACCGCCTGGGCTCTTGTTAACAAGCGTGACTTTGCCATCAAGGGTGAAATGTAATTGACCTTCTTCTTTCAATTGTCTAAGAACATCACTAAACTGCCCTTCATCTACCTCGCCGTTGAGGCCGTGAACCTGTCGTAGTCGAGTAATCATTGTCAAAGCTTCTCCAATAACTTCAGCCTCGTCTGAAGAGAAGTAAGATTTGAATTGACAAAGGGCATCGATCACTTCATCAGTTAGGAGGACCTCGTGGCCGACACTGTAGTCATCTTCCTGTGGAAGCTTCGGCGGGAGGAAGATATGATGAAATAGATACGATATTCCTTCTATGCCTTATAAAAAAGTATGCTTCATGTCGGTCCTTATACGGGTAGCAATCTTGTACCGTGAAGTGTTTGTTGAGGGAGATAGGATGCTATTTTGAGTTCAGCAGACTGTCTCGGAAGATTGAACAAGGCCGTGTGTAGAAGATCATATATATTTTACGCGAGTAGCAAAGGGCGGCTTAACTTTGAGTGACGCATTCTGTATCCTCCAGAGCCTTCGATAAAAGTGTTATTGTAAAGAATTTCTCGCCTGAACAAAATACTTTATTGAAAATTAATTCAGTTTCGTGATAGCTGAGACAGCTGGGGCAAGGGGCCGCGGTGAGGGGCACATGTGGGTGTATCACAGATTCTTCAAACAGCATTGGCGCCCAAATCCTGCCGATTGCATCACGTAACTGCCGAATGTGAAGATTCGATATCTAGATATGCCAAGATACTCAAGAAAATGACATGTTTTCTGGCATATGCGGACGGAAAGTAGGTAATTCACTGCAGGCTTGGGTGGGATTTGCTGAGGATTACTTGATTTGAGGGCATTCGGGCTAGGATTTTCTTATGAGGCTATAGTGAGTATTCTCGCTATTTAAGAAAGCACTACTTTCCATGATATAGACATGGAGAGAACTCTCCCGCTCATTTCTTCCTTGTCAATATTTTGAAACAGTAGACTCTCGCAATTTCATTACCCTTTGGAATACCCTCGAGTAGGCGCTATAGTTCCGCAGAGCCCTTGGGCCGCTGTAGATATATGCACAATAGCGCACCCAGTGGCAGGTTCAGTTGTAGTAGAATCTTTATTGAAGAGCCTTTGTAGCAATGGTACTGCGGCTCTACAGACTGCTCTCGAAAAATCATTTTGAGGCTGATTTGAAAGTTTCAGAAAGAATTTCAGCAAATTCTAGTCAGTCCTCAGATTCTCATTGTTATTAGCGAACAGAAAGAAACGTATTCTACACTGCAGGCCTTCACCGCAACTTGACAGTCATCCCCATTCGGGGGTTTTAATATTAAATTGTCTTAATTACTTGATCAAGGTCGGATCAACGGTTCGTTGGGCAAGCATGAAGATCGCCATTTGAGAAATATTGGTTGAAAGTCAGTCGCGTCTGACATACTGGCTATCATCAATGCCTGAACCAGAGATAAGTGAGAGGTGTAGGGAGTTAACTCACACTAATGTTCATCAAATACTCACCCTGCCAAAACCGACAGAGTAACCAAAGGTGATTGGTCATATTTTATTACCCATCATTTGTGAAATTGCCATCAACAATAGATTGTTGAGCTAGAAG